TGCCGGCCCCGGTACGGGTGCGACACCGAGGGTTGCGATCCCGTTAGCGGTCAGTAAAAAAGACAAAAAGGAAAAAAAAAAAAACTATTGTAAATCCACATATTCAAGGATCTAAAAAATGAATGTAATAAGAGAAATAGAAGGTATAAAAAAGAAAGAAAACTTCTTAAGAGAACTATAATCTAATGAAAAATTTACTAAAGTAGATTAAGACTAAATTAGACAATGAAGAAGACTTGAAAATAATAGAAACTATTCAAACTAAACATAGAAAGAAGAAAAAAAGCTGACCCAAAATATAAACAGAGTCTCAGTGACCTGTGGGAAAATACGAAGTGAACTAACATACATGTATGTAATTGGAGTCCCAGAAAAAGGGGATAGGAGAGCAGAAACAATCTTTAAAGAATTGGCTGAAAATTTTCCAAATGTGATGCAAATTATAAACCAACATTCAAAGAAGCTTAATAAGTTCCAACCAGAATACACACAAAAAACTCATACAAAGACACATCATAATCTAGTTGCTAAAATACAGTGATAAAGAGAAGTCTTAAATAAAGCAAACCAAAAAAAAAAAAAAAAAAAAAAAAAAAAAAAAAAAAAAAAAAAAAAAAAAAAAAAGAAAAGAAAAGAAAATGTACTCAGGTTGATATCTCTGCTAGAGAAAGAAAAGGAAAAGAAACCACGTATAGGGGAACAAAGATAATAATTATCACCAGGATCAATTCAAGACAGAAGTGATAAAAGAAAAAAAGGTCAACCTAAAATTCTATATCCAGTGAATATATCCTTCAAAAGAGGGGGTGAAATAAAGACATTCTCAGAGAAACAAAATCTGAGATAATTCATCACCATCAGCAGAACTGTACTATAAAAAATGTTAAAGGAAGTTCTTCAAGCAGAAGAGAAATGACACCAGATGAAAATGTGCATCTACATAAAGAAACGAAGGAGGGGCCGGCCTGGTGGCACACTGCTACAGTGCGCCGCTTGGGAAGCGCGGCGGCGCTCCCGCCGAGGGTTCAGATCCCACATACAGACCGGCCGCTCACTGGCTGAGCGAGGAGTGGGGGCAACACCGAGGGTTGCGATCCCGTTGCCGGTCCCGGTCCGGTACGGGCGCGACACTGAGGGTTGCGATCTGTTGCCGGTCATGAAAAAAAGACAAAAAGACAAAAAAAAAAAAAAAAGAAATGAAGGCCACCAGAAATGGTAAATATATAGTGTGACTATATACAGGGTAACTTTTGCAGTGAGAACACTTAAAATCTACCCATTTTTCAAGAACACAATATATTGCTATTAGCTACAGTCACCATGCTGTACAACAGATCTTTGAATTTATTCCCCCATCTAACTGAAATTTTGTATCCTCTGACTAACATCTCCCCAACTCCCACTCACAACCACCTCAGCCCCAGGGTCACCACCATTCCACTCTCTACTTCTATGAGTTCAACTTTTTTAGGTTCCGCTTGTAATCATATTTGTTTAAATCTACTTAAGATAATCAATGGTTTACACCTAAAATAATAAAACACAATTATGAGGCTTATACCATATACAGAAGAAAAATGTATAACGATAGCACAAAGGACAGGAGGCGGGAAATGGAAGAATATTTGTGTAGAATCTTACATTAAACATGAAATAGTATATTTGAAGTTCATTGTGGTAAGTTAATAAACTGTAAACACTAATACAATCCTTAAAATACAAAACAAAGAAGTATAGCTAATAAGACAACAGTGGGAAAAAAATCAAGTACTAGCAAAATACTTGATTAGTCCAAAAGAAGACGAGCACAGATGCGATAAACAAAACTAATGGCAAGACAGTAAACCTAAATCCAACCATATCATTAGTTACACATTAAATGTGAATGGTCCAAATATCACAATGTGGGCCGGCCCCGTGGCGCACTCGGGAGAGTGTAGTGCTTGGGAGCGCAGCAGCGGCTCCCGCCGCGGGTTCGGATCCTATATAAGGATGGCCGGTGCGCTTACTGGCTGAGCGCGGTGCGGGCGACACCACACCAAGGGTTGCGATCCCCTTACTGGTTACAAAAAAAAAAAAAAATATATCACAATGAAAAGGCAGAGATTGTCAGACTAGATAAAAACAGAACTCCACTCTAAATACAAAAATACAAACATGCTGAAAGTAAAAGGATAAAAAAAGGAAAAAGAGGGCCGGCCCGGTGGCGCACTGGATAGTGCGCCGCTTGGGAAGCGCAGCGGCGCTCCCGTCCGAGGGTTCGGATCCCACGTACAGACCGGCTCCCGCTCACTGGCTGAGCGAGGCCCGGGAGCAACGCCGAGGCTTGCGATCCCGTCGCCGGTCCCCAGTCCGGTGCGGGGGCAACACTGAGGGTTGCGATCCGTTGCCGGACACGGAAAAAAGACAAAAAAAAAAAAAAAAAAGGAAAAAGATATACCATGTAAAACCTCATTGTAAGATAGCTGGAGTGGTTAGATTAATATTAATATCAGCCAAAGTAGACTTCAAAACAAAGAATATTACCAGGAATACGGAGACATTTTATGATGATAAAGAAGTAAAAAAAAAAAAAAAAAAAATCTAAATGTGTATGTACCAAATAACAGAACTTCAAAATACATAAAGCAAAAACTGAAAAACTGACAGACTGCAAGGAGAAATAGAAAAATCCATAGCTAGAGTTGGAGATTTTAATACTCCTCTCTCAGTAATTAATAGAACAAGTAACCAGACATCAGTAAGGACACAGAAGACTTGAACAACACCATCACCCATCTCGCTGACTTTTATAGGGTGCTCCATCCAACAATAAAATACACTTCAATAGCGTATAGAACATCCAGCGAGACAGATGACAAACAGGGCTGTCACACAAGCCTTAATGGATTTCAGAGGATTTCTGTTCTCTGACTAGAATAGAATTAAACTAAAAATTAAAATCAGAAACTTATCTGGAAAATCCCAAATTATCTAAAAATGGAAAAACAGACTAGTACATAAATTATAAGTGAAATAAAACTCACAAAGGAAATTTTAAAATTTTTTCAGTGGAATAGGAATAAAAACACAGCATATTAAAAATTGTGGAAAATAAATAAATAAATAAATAAAGATGAAAAAGGGCTGGCCAGTTAGCTCACTTGGTTAGAGCACTATGCTGACAACAATGAGGTCAAGGGTCGCATAGCCATACCAGCTAGCCACCAAAAATAAATAAATAAATAAAAACAAAATTTGTGGAATGAAACTAAAAGAGTAATTAGAAGAAGGAAGGTGTAAAAATCAATGATCTAAGCTACTTTCACCTTAATAAGCAGAAGAAGAAAAGCACAGTAAACCCAAGTTAACTAGGAGGAAGGAAATAATAAGGAATAGAAATAAACACAAGAGAAAACAAAAATCAATGAAACTAAAAGCTAGTTCTCTGAAAAGATCAAGAGCAAATGAGAGAGGGGCTGGCCAGCTGGTTAGAGTGCAGTGTTGCAACACCAAGGTCAAGGGTTTGGATCCCTGTACTGGCCAGCCACTAAAAAAAAAAAAACTAAAAACAAAGACCAAATGAAAACATCAATTACCAATACGGGGACCAAAACAGAGGTCACATTAAAGATCCTACCACATCAGAAGGAAAATAACATGACATCATGAACAACCGGGTGTCAAAAATCTGACAATTTATATGAAACAGATGAACTTCTTGAAAAACACAAACTCCCAAAGATGACAAGAAGAAACAGAAAGCCTGAATACCACCACGGCTTTAAAGAAACTGAATGCAGCATCAAACTGGATACTTAAAACTGAGAACGTTTCGGCCGGCCTGGTGGCGCAATGGAGAGTGCGCCGCTTGGGAGCACGGCGGTGCTCCCGCCGAGGATTCAGATCCCTGGTGGAGACCGGTTCCCGCTCACTGGCTGAGCGAGGTGCGGGCGCAGCACCGAGGGTTGCGATCCTGTTGCCGGTCCCCAGTACGGGCGTGACACTGAGGGTTGCGATCCGTTGCCGGACACGAAAAAAAGACAAAAAGGGAAAAAAAAAAAATTGAGAACGTTTTATTGTATGTACATTAATAAAGTTAATTTAAAAGGTTAAAGAAACCCAGCAAGAGTGAACTGTAGTGTATAGAGCCTAAGAATGCACACTTGGGACATAAACCTATCAAGAAACAAGAGGAAATAAACACTCCAGAAGCTTGGGTCGTGTCTTGGAACAGAGGAGGAGGTGAGGATTCTGACAGGGCACATGGAAGACACCTGGCGCAGAGTCAGGCTCTGCCTGGGGACAGCTATGGGATGGTCTCCTGACAGCAATTCATTAAACTACGCTTGTTTTGTGTGGCTTTCTGTTCCCATGTACTACTTCATAATACAAAAGTGCTGGGGGTTTCTAAAGATAAAAGTTTAAACACCAGGTTTAAGACTAAAACTCTTCCCCTTTTCTGGTCAAAAAGAACTAACTCCTCTGGCGTCTGCCCGTCACTGTCAGCATCACCCCCACAGGGCTACTGGGCACTGGCCCGACCCTCTCGGTCTAACACGGCTCCCAGGCGGCGATGCTCCAACGGCTTTGTGGGTGAAGCCGTCAGCGGAGAATGCTTTAAATAAAGTACTGTGAAGAAGCGCCAGTGGAATGGTACAGGCATTTAATAAACGTAATCACACAATTGCACAATAAACATACGCGAACATATACTTAGATATACCATGATTCACAGATACATAAAAGCCCGGCTCCTTAAAGAGTGTCTTCGATGGAGCTCTGCCGGCAAACCCTCTCCTGTCACCGCCCAGTGAGCCCCCAGCTCCAGGCTGCCAGTGACCGTGACAGCGCCCCCCGGAGGCTGCCGTGGGATGGACCGACCTACCCAGGGGAAGCACCGAGGGCCCCAGCCGCACCTGGCACACGCGTCACTCGGGGTCAGCTTTCGCTCGTGCTTCTACATCCTGAATAAATTCTAACGGTGTTCTTTGGGGAAAAAGAGCAGGAAAGCCTCTTACCCTGCTTTATGCTTCTTTTTCTTTGGAGTGTCTTCTTCTGACGTCCTCCTGCCTCGACCCCGAGAGCCTCTCTTTTCTTTCTGACTTCGACCTTCTGAAAAACAGACCAAATTATTTTCACAGAATTCACTAAAGCAAGACAAGATTTACCCAAATAAGATATTCACCATGATATTCCCAATAAACTTATTAGACAAAATTCTTCAAGATTCCATGGGTAACAGTAATAAGATAAAGAAAAAACTGACAGACTTGCTTTTTAAGCCTCGTCCTCCAGAGCTTTCAAAGTCACTGCCTTCCATCTTGTCCTTCAGATCCGCTTCGAAGCGTGCCAGGTCTGCGTCGAGCCTTCGAATGTGTTTGTCCACCTAAAGAAGGATGCTAAAGCCTCAGGAGTCACAGACACAGCAAGGAGGGGACAGCAAGCATACGCTTGCCCTCCAGTTGAGCCTTCCGTTAACAAGAGCTCTGCTAACACGAGGCCCACTGCCTCAAAGTTTATGCGAGAGTTTTTTCCTCCCCCCACACAAGGACACCTGAACAGAATAAATGTTTCAGGAAAAAAATGTGAGTGTAGACAGTAATGAGAAACAGTTGTGAAATGCACGGGACCAATGGGTGGGGACATCTGATACTGAATCCTAATTTAAAAACCTGAAGAATGAAAAGGCATAGGTTCTTAAACAGAAAAATAACCAAAAAAACAGAAAATTACTCTTATGCTTTAGGTATAGGACCAGCTGGAAGAAAGGAGACAATATGGTCAAACACCAGGAACAGGGTAACTCCTGTGTTGCCTTTGTCAGAGAAGATGCACCTACTGAGCAATCACAGGACTTTACAAAGGACACAGTCCACTTCTTTCTCCAGCTGACTCATGACATGCAGCCAGAACCACAATGTCAGAGTCCAGAAAGGAGGCGTGCCAGTACCCTTCCCAGTCTGGAAAGAAACTGCCATCCTAAACATTGTTGTGCATCAGGGAGAAAACGTGACTGTCTTAGTGACAACTGATCAAACCTAGCATCTTAGAAAGCAGTCTGTCTACTCTAAAGACTCAGCAGTCTGCAGCATCAGAATCCCACACCTGAGCACTAAGCTCTTATTCCTGTTACATGATCTCACAGGCAACACAGGACAATGGTTTTTTTTTTTTTTTTTTTTT